TTTCATTTTGGCAGACACAATTTATGTTGCTATGTTTTGAAAGTGGTTTTCATGCCGTACATGTTAATTTTCCGGAAAAACACGACACTAGTGCCCTCATCGGTAGAAATCAATACACATGAATGCAGAACGCAGGCCTATATGAAAGAACAAATTTTATTTTTGCAGACACAATTTATGTTGCTATGTTTTGAAAGTGGTTTTCATGCCGTACATGTTAATTTGCCGGAAAAACACGACACTAGTGCCCTCATTGGTAGAAATCAATACACATGAATGCAGAACGCAGGCCTATATGAAAGAACAAATTTTATTTTTGCAGACACAATTTCTGCATCTATTTTTTGGAAGCGATTTTAATGCCATACATGTGTTGGTTGATTTGTCGGGAAAATACATGAATGCTAGAGCCCTCACTGGTGAAAATCAATACGCGAGGGGCTGGTACCTTTAGCAATCAAACATTGGCCTATATGAACCAACCAATTTTATTTTTGCAGATATAATTTCTGCAAAGTAATCGAAGTAATTGGCCTGCTAGTTTTCAAGAAACAGTCAAATATAGAATTGTTAACAGCCTGGGAGTTTTAAAGTAGCCGAAAATAGAATTGTTGATCATGATGGACAGTGACCTATATGAAGTCAAATCAAAGAAAGCTTAGAAAGAACTCCCATGTGCTGAGAGTATTGGAGACACATTAAATATATAATTCAAAATTACTTGTCAGAGATTTTAATGGAAAACTAATGAGGTCTGCGCAATGTAACAGACCATCTATGTACCAAGTTTTATTGAAATGTGATTGGAACTAAAAAAAATTATTATGCTAATTAGGGAATTAATATAAACAGATTTTAACCCCAAACTAATCAGGTTTGTACATTGTCCTAGAGCATCTTTGCACTAAGTTCCATTGAAATGGAATAATTAGTACTTTAGATATCAGTGTGATAGCTTAAAAGTGGTTAATTATGTAAATTAGTAATTAATATGTACAGATTTTAACCCACAATTATCCAGGTCTGTCTATTGTCCTACAGCATCCATGTACAAAGTTTCATTGAAATGTGATGATTAGTACTTGAGAAATCAGTGTGAAAGCTGAACATTAATTAATTATGCAAATTAGGTAATTAATATACACAATTAATTACCCTAAAACTAATCAGGTCTCTGCATAGTCCTTGAGTATCTATGTATCAAGTTTTATTGAAATGTAATCCTTACTACTTGAAACATCAAAAGCTGAAAATTAATTATGCAAATTAGGTAATTAATATGCACTGACATTACCCTAAAAACTATCAGGTCTGTGCAGTGTCCTATGACATCTATGTACCAAGTTTCATTGAAATGTGATTAGTACTTGAGATATCAGTGGAAAAACCGAAAATTGACTAATCTTTATGCAAATTAGGTATTTAGTAATTAGGTAATTTTTACCAAAAACTAATCAAAACCAAGCATTAGTTCAGAGCATCCATGTACCAAGTTTCATCAAAATTCAATAACTGGTTTTTTAGATATCAATGGAACAATCATGGAACAGCTAAAAATTAGCTTATTATCATGCAAATTAGGTAATTAATATGCATGACATTTTACCAAAACCTAATAAATCTGTGCATTAGCCCAGAGCAT